AGATAGATAGATAGATAGATAGATAGATAGATAGATAGATAGATAGATAGAGAGAGAGAGAGATAGATAGATAGATTTTATATGCAATATGTTCATTTTTATAAACAAGCTTTTCTAACAGTTGCATTTTTAGACTCATTAACCCTCATTAGGGACACTCCACCCCAAAATGATCATTCTTTTTTGGGTGGAGTGAAGAATGATTGAAGAACGATTGGAACTTTGGCACCATTGACTTCCATAGTAGAAAAAAAAAATATTATGGAAATCAATGGTGCCAAAGTTCCAATCGTTCTTCACAATATCTTCCTTTGTGTTCAGCAGAAGAAAGAAACTCATACAGGTTTGCAACAACTTTAGGGTGAGTAAATGATAAAAGAATTTAAATTTTTGGGTGGAGTGTCCCTTTAACTTGACAAATATTACAATGTACAAATAAACAATGTATGGCCCATTGTTAGTTAATGTTAGTTACAGTAATACATTTACTAATGTTGGCTAATGAACCTTATTCTAAAGTGTTACCGAATTTGCCACCAGCACAATTTACCATTTTGGAGAAACGTCACAACTCTAAAAAGCAGCTGCTACACTACTGTAATACATTTGTATTTATACATTTATTTTTGTAAAAATGGGTTACATGAAACTTGAAAATTCACAGTTGCTTGTCATGGAAGATCATAGGAAGATATGTAAGAATGTGTGGTGTTAGGAGGAGTCATAATAGAGAGAGTACTACAAATGTTCATTTTCATTTGTGTACTACAGTATTGACTTTTCCAAGTAAACTTTTTCCCTACTGTTGAAATGTGTATCTAAAAGACAGACAGACAGACAGACAGACAGACAGATAGTTAGTTCGTTATCTATAGATAGATAGATAGATAGATAGATAGACAGACAGACAGACAGACAGACAGACAGACAGACAGACAGACATATATAAAGACAGATAGACAGACAGACAGACATACAAACATATAGATTGACAGACAGACATATAGATATATAGATAGATGGACAGACAGACAGACAGACAGACAGATAGACAGACAGATAGATAGATAGATAGATAGATAGATAGATAGATAGATAGATAGATAGATAGATAGATAGATAGATAGATAGATAGATAGATAGATAGATAGATAGATAGATCTAGATAGATAGATCTAGATAGATAGATCTAGATAGATGGATAGATCAGAGCCGGCTCTCCCTATAAGCGAACTAAGCGGCTGCTTAGGGCCCCGCCGCCACTAGGGGGCCCCCTAACTACAGATGGTAGTCGCCGGCGTCGCCGCTCAAAGTGTGGGGCGCGCCCCACTGGTGGGGAATAGAGACGTGACAGGTGGGGCGCGCCAACGGGAGGAAATTGTCCTTTTTATGCCTTTATATCTTTATTAAACAACTACTAGTCGACTAGAAAAAAACTTTAGTCGGAGGGAGCCCTTATTCCACATATTTCCGCTCACATGCTCTGATCGGAACAAAGGAATATTAAAATAATTAATCATTAGTTTATATCTCATACACTGCCCATCATTGTAATCCCATATCAAACACGGACGGTAGCCTATGTCTATTTTAATTTTTTTAAATAGACCTGTCTTGCCAAATGGATTTTTCTTCTTTTCTTTTTTTAACAGATTGCAAAGTGGCACTTTTATTTCTTTTCTATTTTTGAACTTGATACACATTTTGACACAGCTGCACTTTTATTTTCTCTATTTTTGAATTCCATGCAAGTTATGACACAGCTGCACTTTTATTGTCTTTATTTTTTAACTTGCTGTTATGTTATTTGATGTAGATAGTTAGTTTGTAATTAGACTTGTTACTTCAATAAATTGGAACATTTTAAGCTTGTTGCGTATTTCATTAGCATTGTGTTGGGGCGATGGGGGCAGTGGGGCTTGAAAATTCCCCCTTGTCCAAAGTGGGGAATGACCGAAAAAGTTTGAGAACCACTGCGTTAAGTCAACCAACCGTGTCAGATCGTTGTCTTCCCTGGACTTGGAAATTTGACCGCAAAAATGAAACGAGTCTATCCATCGGGTGCAGAAAAAAGAAGAATGTTTAAATCACTTTAGAAGGAAGCAAAGAAATTACTGGTCCAACTTCTCCCTCTTTTTAAAGTGTGGAAAAGGGAAAAGAAGTTCAAAGATCGAGACTCCAGCAACACCTGTAGTATATGCAACAACTTTATTGAAGATTTGTTAGATTGGGTTAGATTGTATACAGTTGCTGGTTTGCGGTGGCAATACTTCATTATTTACTGCAAGGCAGGGCCCCAAAAATGTCCTGCTTAGGGCCCCCAGATTTACAGAGCCGGCCCTGGATAGATATAGATAGATAGATAGATAGATAGATAGATAGATAGATAGATAGATAGATAGATAGATTTTATATGCAATATGTTCATTTTTATAAACAAGCTTTTCTAACAGTTGCATTTTTAGTCTCATTAACCCTCATTAAAGGGACACTCCACCCCAAAATGATCATTCTTTTATCATTTACTCAGCCTCAAGTTGTTGCAAACCTGTATGAGTGTCTTTCTTCTGCTGAACACAGACAATTAGTTCTTCAAAACATATCTTCCTTTGTGTTCAGCAGAAGAAGAACGATTAGTTCTTCAAAATATCTTCCTTTGTGTTCAGCAGAAGAAAGAAACTCATACAGGTTTGCAACAACTTGAGGCTGAGTAAATGATAAAAGAATTTTCATTTTTGGGTGGAGTGTCCCTTTAACATGACAGTTAATTATAATTACCAAGTCGAGCTGCTAGGTGGAGGAGACCTTTAGTATAGTTGCTCCTGAATGAACTGGATCATCAGTAAGCTAAGCGAATGGCAACGCATGTCATGAAGCCAGAGCGTGTGTTACAGTGTGGATGATGCGGCACAGTCGCGGGCCTTCAGGCTCGAGGAGCTCAGTTGTTGTCATGGCAACAGGCATCCAGACCCTTTGCTGCTTCCCATCACATGTTCATAAAACATGCTTCGGTAAAGATAATATAATGTCAGAGGTGGATGGGGTGATGGGATTATAGGCTGCTGGCTGTCATTATATATATACGTCAACATTAACTGTATTATTCAATGAGAGCATCTCATTATGAAATCCTTCCACACATGCAAGATTTTACACAGACACACACACATCATACTAACACGGATATTGTTTTATTTAATCAAAAAAGAGAAGAAACAGCACCGCATTGAAAAAAATTAAGAAATCAAGAAAAAATCAAACGTAAGGTCGGAACGTAAAAGTACAAATTACAAACAAGGTAGGAAGCCTCAATCAGAAAAAAAAGATAGTGCGTAAGAAATGTGTTACTTGTTATTAGGGTAGAGTGGGGGAAAACGCCCCCCTTAAGGAAAATGTGACATTACTGTGAAACAAAACATAAATGTGACTAGAATTGCCATCCCAGTTTTGAGTGACTATGGCAGGAGAATATTACTAAATATTAAAATTGCTCAACCTGCATAATTATACATATTATTGACTGAAAATATTTTTGTACAAAGGGGGCGTTTTGCCCCAGCGGTGGGGTAAAACGCCCCCCAAGGTGGGGTAAAACGCCCCCTTTCTTACCAACCAGTTTGCTTCATAGATCAACAGCAAAATAAATATAGTTTTTTATCTCTAAAAGTAAAAGGCAAGTAATGCAACAACATGTATATATACCTATTAATATTTATTTCAGGAATGAACAAAATAGCCAAATTTCTAACATTTTAATATTTTGATTTCTACACTAGGCCTATATGGGGTTGATAATTGATGTAGTATTTGTTCACCACTATCATCAAGAAAAACAGAAAACCCTAAATAAATATTAAACATAAATTAGTATATTTAAAGTGAAATATATTCAATAAATGCTCTAAAAGTCACTATATTTTATCATTGGGTCACCTAACCACCTTCCATCATTGCATCCACCAAGCTAGCTAGCTAATGCTCACTTGAGGTAATTTTATCATGTTTTGTTAAAATATTTTGATTTTATCGCCTAGTTATACTGCATTAAAGTGTAAAATAAAGACTTTGATAAACAGAAATATGTTACTATAGTAATTATGATAAAGAGAAACTATGCCCCTTGGGGGGCGTTTTACCCCTCAGCATAGGGGGCGTTTTACCCCACAAGCTATGTTTTTTTTTTTAAATTGTTTATTTTTAAAAATATAATTATATTCCTTATAAATAACATATGCTCTCAAACTACAGACTTCACTATTCATCTATCATACATTACTGTGATATCACTGTGAACAATATTCTATTAAACACTTGTTTACTAATATCTGAACATTATAGCATTTTCCATGTAATCCCCTTCTCTTCAAATACGTCGCTGGTGTCTGCTTCTCCATGGAGATTTGTATATCCCCGTTGTCAACGTAGTGCATAGCAATAGTAAAAATGTATCTTGATTCATTCTAGTGGTTATTTTGGGGAAAACGGGTGGGGGGCATTTTACCCCAGGGGGGCATTTTCCCCCACTCTACCCTATTTATGAGTAGCCTATTGAAGAGAGTTTGTGGTATAGGCTATCTTTACTCTTTTTCTTTTTTTTTTAGAAATACAATATTGTTCAGAGAGTAATTATGTTTTTCAGTGAACGATAACATAGGCCTACTACACCTAGGGGGATGTGAATAACATGGGCATAACAAAATGTGAAAATCGCGTTAAGTAGCTAATGTTAACCACAGACTTTATTTTACTTAACATTTTAAAACACATGAACAATTATTGAGGAAATTATCATTCTCTTTCAGGGTTTTCCAGTTGTAATGGCTACATTTAAATGCATGTGTAGCTTGACAGGGGAAGGCCGTCTCAGTTTATGAATATAAATTAGGTCAATCTGACGTTGTTCGCTGGTAGAGCGGAGAGTCACGTCAAAAGTTAATTATTCATGAGTCGTACGGCCCCTTTCACAAAGGGGCCACGCCCATTTACACTGTTCAGAGCGCCCTTTCAATAAAGCTTCCGCAGTTTGAATCATCATGGCAGCCGGTGAAGCGTCCTTGCTGGCGCTTGGAGTTCAGTTCTGTATGAAAAACAAGCTACTTTCGAAGTCAACTTTGCCTAGTATTATCAGCTGTATTAGAAGAGGTAAGGGTTTTCGTGACAAGTGAATGACAGTAATGTTTTTAATGATAAATGTCGTTATGTTGACTTTTGACACTGACAACCTGACAAGACAAGAACACCCAGTTTTTAACTTTAGATAAATAAGAGACATCTAAATCTATGTATGTATGTATGTATGTATGTATGTATGTATGTATGTATGTATATATGTGTATGTACAGTACGTATGTACGTATGTACGTATGTATGTATGTATGTATGTATGTATGTATGTATGTATGTATGTATGTATGTATGTATGTATGTATGTATGTATGTATGTATGTATGTATGTATGTATGTATGTATGTATGTATGTATGTATGTATGTATGTATGTATGTACACTACCGTTCAAAAGTTTGGGGTCGGTACGATTTTAAATACTTTTAAAAGAATTCTCTTCTGCTAACCATGGCTGCGCTTATTTGATTAAAAATACAACAAAAATCAGTTATAGTATTAAATATTATTCCTGTGTAAATCAGCTGTTTTCTGTGTGAATATATAGTAAAGTGTAATTTATTCCTGTGATCAAAGCTGAATTTTCAGCATCACCAGTGTCAGTGTCTTCAGTGTCAAATGATCCTTCACAAATCAGTATAATATGAGGATTTGATGCTCAAGAAACATTTATTATTATTATCAATGTTGAAACAGTTGTTGGTCTGTCAGTTGTACAGTTTTTTTTTTTTTTTTAGGATTCTTTGATGAATAGGAAGTTCAAAAGACTTTTGTAACATTATAAATGTCTTTACTGTCACTTTCGATCAAATTAATTATTCCTTGATAAATAAAAGTATTGATTTCTTTCCTCCAAAAAATAAAAATAAAATTCTCACTGACCCCAAACTTTTGAACGGTAGTGTATGTATGTATGTATGTATGTAACGTTATGTGTGTGTGTGTGTATGTATGTATGTAACGTTATGTGTGTGTGTGTGTGTGTGTGTGTGTGTGCTACAGTTGTCAGGTACTGTTTACTATTTTTATAATACTCTTATCTTGAGGACGTAGTCTTCTTGAACTTCGAATGTAGTTGAACTTGACTGTCATTAATATGTGTCGGTGTGTTTTTTTTGTGTTTAAGCATTTTTTACAAGTAGTCTTACAAGTTAGTCATCCAATTTTTTTCTTCAAGACTGTTCATAACTTTTTAAAGTTAGTTACATAAAAACGTACATTGGTCTAATTTGATACCGAACAGTAAGACTGATTACCCCTAACTAACTGCTAGTTGGTCAAACTAGTTCTTAAGACACGGTCTTAACATAATGGCTATGTTTATGGAACTGGCCCCTGGTCTCTCCTAAAACTGATGTTAAATAAGAAGAAAGTTAACAGTGTTCCTTCAATATTTACATATAACCAAGAGAAATAGACATGTTGCAGTCATGCAGATCAACACATGCACTCTTGTTTATCTCAATCTCATGAAACACTTTTCTATCCTGAAGGTCTTGCCACAAGTGTGCTGTCTCAGACTGTTGAAGAGCCCAGCGCCACGACCTCTCCAAGCAGCAGCAGTTTTGGTGGACCCTTGGAGCATTACAACAGTCTTATTCGAGATGGACAGTTACGAGAGGATCTGCAGCAAAAGGCTGTTATGGAAAAACTGGAACAGATGCAAAAGAATCTTCGAGGGTACAGCAATGACCGCTCATCGTTTTTTTCAAAGGTAAACTGGCCTAAATCCGCCAAAATATACCCTGCAGATACTGTGAAAGTGTTTTTTTTTACTTATACTGTATATGTTATTGATTCTTTTGCAACAGTTCTTCTCCCAGAGAAAGCCACCAAAAGGTTATTACATATATGGAGACGTTGGTAAGTTTTGCAACGTTATGTCGTGGCTGTCACCGTGTCAGATAAACTTAATTGTACTGGAAATAAATTGCTCGGTTCTGATATCAATGTGAATTTCCTCATTTACAGGCACAGGAAAAACTATGGTTATGGACATGTTTTATAATCATGTAGAGACAGAGAAGAAAAAAAGGGTCCATTTTCATGGATTTATGTTGGATGTACATAAACGTAAGTTTGTTATGACTGATCTTTTAGTTCAGTTTTTAATGAGACTGTAGATATACCTGTACTTTATTAATGTTTGTGCACTGATAATTCTGGTCATTTTTTATTCATTCATTCATTTATTGTTTTTACTATACATTTTATGACTACCCCATACCATTTGGCATATATTAAACTGCCAGCACAACATATTTTCACATTTCCATTAATGTATGATATGGACATTATTTTCACATGGTTTATTTAACGTTTTTTTTGGTGTTTTTTTTAAGCAGGAGCTAGAAATTGTTACAAGGTCCATTATGATTATTTAATATATATTTAAAAAAAATAATAATCTTTGAGGGACTGAAATATTCCTGGAGCCCAAAAATAACCCATGTATGATTAAACTGATGCCAAAATAGTAAAGTTCCCATTATTTGCTCTCACTCAGATAGAGTCATGTTTGTGTAGGAATCCATCGGCTCAAGCAAAGTTTACCCAAAAGAAAAGTGGGTAAAATGGCAAAGGCGTACGATCCTATTGCTCCGGTTGCAGAAGAAATCAGTGAGGAAGCCTGCCTTCTGTGTTTTGATGAGTTTCAGGTGAATGTTTCACTTTGAAATTGTATCGTTGCAATCTAATCAAGCTTTGTGATCGCTTCAGTGTGCTGAGATCTTCCCAAGTTATCTTTTAAATCCACGCAGTGACAATCAAACTGGTACAGAGAATAAACTATTGATTTTTAAGATTTCTTTTGCTTTCTCTGTTCATTAGGTCACTGACATCGCAGATGCCATGATCCTTAAGCAGCTCTTTGAGAACCTCTTCCTTAAAGGGGTTGTTGTTGTTGCCACGTCCAACCGGCCTCCTGATGGTATGAAGCAAATAATCAAGAGTCAAAATATTGATATGTTGTCACTGGAGTGTATGTAGGTGTTATACACTTTCATTCGGGTGTGTATGGGTGACATTACATAGTTGCTTGTACTAATCAAGACTCTTTGGAAAGACTATTATCATTTCGTCAGTGTGTTGCGTTTGCAAGTTTGATTTATGAACCACCAATAGCTATGTTTCCATTTACCTATTTTTATGCGAATTTTGGGATATTGCTTAAAAAAAACGGTTGGAAATGCCAAGATGCACATAAATTCGAAAAATGTGTATAAAAACGTATGCGCTCAATTGAGGCAGATAAAAAAAAAATTATCCGATGAGAATACATACGTATAAACTACGATTAAAACACATTTACCAATTAAATCCCTTGATGTGTAAGAAAAAAAACTCATTGGGGCTCATTCATGAAACACGAGCAGAACGAATGTTTGTGTAAATCGTGTGTAAAGTGGTTCTGGCGTAAATTTTCGGATTCATTAAAATGTTCGTATTTTCCAAATGTTAGTTGGTACACAAGAAATCTACACCTGCTCCCAGCCACGCGTAAATAGTGCGCTTAACACCCGAACGTTTTGCTCATTAATAAGGCTGCATTTTAATTCACCTTAATTGGGTACATATTTGCACAGCATTTTGAAAAAATATTATATATAGTAATTACATACGGTTTTTCTTATTATGAGAGCCAGTAATAGCATCTGCGATGGTGGTCCTTCTCCAGTTTGAATACTATTTTTCCGAAGTGAACTAATTCGTTTTTTGCTCTCAAGCTTAATGTCGAACCATTTTCTTCTCACTTCTGGGAATGTTCGATTAACAGATGAAACTCCATTAACTGCATCTGTAATATGCTGCCAAGCTTCCTTTTTTTTAGGACCCGATACGCCACTATGTACGCTTGAAAATAAAATGTGGCGTTTTGAATGAACTTCTGATAAAACTTCAATTTCTGAATCTGAGAATTTTTTTTTTCGCATTCATGTCATAATTTGATGCCCATATAGTTGTCAGTCGGATTTAATGGGCGGGATTTATGGTAATTGAGAATGAACGTGCACGCGCATCCCATTTACGACTGATTGGAATTCATTAACACACACACATTTCACTATCACATCTGACGTTTACGAAGTATTTGTGAATCAGGAGAAGAGTTTTCGGGAAGGTCTCTTTACGCGCAAATCACTCGCATATTTACTCGTATATTTACGAATGCCTCATGAATGAGACCCACTGACTTTGACTCAACAGAGGAGGATGTGTTTGGACTACAGGACTAACCAGCGGATCAATTTCATCACACAGCATTTCAAATGTTGGTTTGGTCACTCTGAAATGCCCATGTCATCAAAATGATTTTGGTATAATACCTCTCAGAACTGTCTCACACGATTGCGTTCCCAAACATCAGGCATCTAAACGAAAGATAACATGACATTGCCTTTCGTCTGTGTGCTCTGAGCCCCAATTCATTTATGATGTACTGTAGGAAAAAAGAAACACAGTGGCTTCCGCGATTGAAGTGAAGGTAAAGTTTGACAACCTATACTTGGAATTTGTCCTCTGCATTTAACCCATCAGACATTAGGAGTAGTGAACACGCGCACACACACACACACACACACACCCAGAGCAATGGACAGACATTTTTGCTGAAGCGCCTGGGGAGCGATTGGGGGTTAGGTGTCTTGCTCAAGAGCACCTCAGTCATTTCCTGCCAGTGTTTAGAATCAAACCCGCAACTTTCGGGTTACAAGTCTGACTATGTAACCATTAGGCCACAACTTCCATTTTTAATAAAAACATTTTGCACGAATTTCCCTGGAAGTGACTATTTTCTTCAAGAGAACACATCAACTGTGCTTTATTCGCAAATATTTTATACTATATTACAATTTTGCACAATTCGCAACTTTAGATGGAAACATAGCTAGTGACTGTCCTAGCATCACAGAAGAGCAGTTTCTTTCAATAACTCTTACCTTCCAAATTCCAGTTTTTACTGAGAACAATATCTTGTTTTACAGATCTGTACAAAAACGGATTGCAGAGGGTGAACTTTGTGCCATTCATCGCTGTGTTAAAGGTAAGCACTTCAGCACTGTTTATTATCTAATACATTTAACGCAGTGTTCATTGCTCTTACTTGCTGTACTTGATGCCCTTGTTGAACTTAGGGTAATATGATCAGAAAAATGATAATGCCTGTTGATTTTGTTCTTTTGTTGGAAGTACTGTATGTAATTCACTGATCAAATGTCATTTAAACAGGACTATTGCCAAACACTACGTTTGGATTCTGGGATAGATTATCGGAGGAGAAATTGCCCGGCAGCCGGGAAACTCGTCTACCTGTGAGTAAATGCATTATGTTGTACAAAATGAGATGTTTCCACATTAGTTTAGAGCAGTTTAGTTATGCAAGTTGACTCATTCTTTAAACACAGACATGCATCTTTAAATTGATTCCTGATTTTTAAAGCTGTTTAATAAAGTGTAATTTCTGCACCACTAGCATTACCAAACAGGGTTTCAAAAATAATCATAGGCTTCAAACTATCCAAAACATTATATGAGACAGTGTTGCTTGGGCCAGTCAGGAAGCGCCACTTTTCGAATATCCTCATATGAATTGCAATCTTATATTAGTCTCTTTATATTAAGATGGAATAGGAATAAGTATTTAACATCCAAAACATGACATGCTTCAGCCTGAACAGTGAGTATTAGCCCTTTGACCAAGTATCTGTGAAAAAAAAAAAGTTGTAGTATGAAGTGATGAATTAATTATCAAATATTTTTATTTTATTTAGTTCCAGTGAACCCGATGTTGATGCAACCCTCGACAAGCTGTTTGATGAGATGGCCTTTAAACAGAATGACAGTAAGTTGGTTGCTGATGTTCCGGTCTTGTTTAAGTAGCTGATAGTGGATCAGTATAAACACCCTATCAAAAGAATTTCTAATGACAGACCATTAGATGTCATAGTTCTACAGATGTGAATGTGAGTTGCCATTATATATTACAAAGTAATTGCATCCAAAATTTTGTGAATTAAGATTTTTTTTTACCAGCCATGTTATGCATATTTGATTCAGGTTCATTTTGTGTATCACAGTTACCCGACCCAGATCTCTAAAGGTACATGGAAGGATACTGACGCTTGACAAAGCATGTGGGACCATAGCAGACTGCACCTTTGAGGAGCTGTGTGACCGGGTAAGCTTGTGTTTTCCACGCCAACTTGCATTCAGTCATTAAAATGAACTAGAATCAGTGAGTCTTGTGTTGTTTTTAACTCTTAGCCTATAGGAGCCAGTGACTACCTGGAGATGTCTGCTGTGTTTGACACGGTTTTCATCCGAAACATTCCTCTGCTTACTTTGAACAAGAAGACGCAGGCCAGACGCTTCATTACTCTCATTGACACACTATATGAGCACAAGGTAAGTCGTGAAACACTTGTGGTTTTTGTTGAAAGGTCTTAAAGGAACCTCTGACAGTTTGGTGGAATATCTCCACAGGTTCGTGTGGTGCTTCTGGCAGAAGCTCCATTAGATGAGCTGTTTGTTTGGGAACATCACGACGATCATGATCATCATGACACTCATGTTTTATTGGATGATCTGGGCATTTCAAGGGTAATTGACAAATAATTTTCTATTAAAAATCTTTGAGAATGAAAAAAGAAAATGATTTTTTTTTTTTTTGCAAGCTGAATGTTGCCATTAGAATTTTATTATAAATTAAATTTTATCTTTATATATATATATATATATATATATATATACACTCACCGGCCACTTTATTAGGTACACCTGTCCAACTGCTCGTTAACACTTAATTTCTAAGCAGCCAATCACATGGCGGCAACTCAGTGCATTTAGGCATGTAGACATGGTCAAGACAATCTCCTGCAGTTCAAACCGAGCATCAGTATGGGGAAGAAAGGTGATTTGAGTGACTTTGAACGTGGCATGATTGTTGGTGCCAGAAGGGCTGGTCTGAGTATTTCAGAAACTGCTAATCTACTGGGATTTTCACGCACAACCATCTCTAGGGTTTACAGAGAATGGTCCGAAAAAGAAAAAACATCCAGTGAGCGGCAGTTCTGTGGGCGGAAATGCCTTGTTGATGCCAGAGGTCAGAGGAGAATGGCCAGACTGGTTCGAGCTGATAGAAGGGCAACAGTGACTCAAATAACCACCCGTTACAACCAAGGTGGGCAGAAGAGCATCTCTGAACGCACAGTACGTCGAACTTTGAGGCAGATGGGCTACAACAGCAGAAGACCCCACCGGGTACCACTCATCTCCACTACAAATAGGAAAAAGAGGCTACAATTTGCAAGAGCTCACCAAAATTGGACAGTTGAAGACTGGAAAAATGTTGTCTGGTCTGATGAGTCTCGATTTCTGTTGAGACATTCAGATGGTAGAGTCAGAATTTGGCGTAAACAGAATGAGAACATGGATCCATCATGCCTTGTTACCACTGAGCAGGCTGGTGGTGGTGGTGTAATGGTGTGGGGGATGTTTTCTTGGCACACTTTAGGCCCCTTAGTGCCAATTGGGCATCGTTTAAATGCCACGGCCTACCTGAGCATTGTTTCTGACCATGTCCATCCCTTTATGGCCACCATGTACCCATCCTCTGATGGCTACTTCCAGCAGGATAATGCACCATGGCACAAAGCTCGAATCATTTCAAATTGGTTTTCTTGAACATGACAATGAGTTCACTGTACTAAAATGGCCTCCACAGTCACCAGATCTCAACCCAATAGAGCATCTTTGGGATGTGGTGGAACGGGAGATTCGCATCATGGATGTGCAGCCGACAAATCTGCGGCAACTGTGTGATGCCATCATGTCAATATGGACCAAACTCCCTGAGGAATGCTTTCAGCACCTTGTTGAATCTATGCCACGAAGAATTGAGGCAGTTCTGAAGGCAAAAGGGGGTCCAACCCGTTACTAGCATGGGGTACCTAATAAAGTGGCCGGTGAGTGTATATACAGTTGCAGTCAAAATGATTCAACCCCCGGAGACTGTAAGAATTTATAAATGTAGGCTTTTCTAAAGGTACAGAGTTTTAAAAACAAAATTGTATCTATAAGTTTAGTGGCAAATTAAGTGATAATGTCAATATATAATGTAATGCTTTTGAGTTATAGGATTTTTTTTTGTAATACAGCTATACATATGTATGTATAATACAGCTAAATATTCAACCCCTATTCAACGCTGCTGTTTTTGATTCACTTATTTATATGCTATGGTACAAAATTGTGTTAAAACACAATAAAGGCTTTGGAAACTCTATAAGAAAACTGAATTAGCTTGTGCTGCTGTTACACACACACACACACACACATATATATATATATATATATTATTTATTATTTAGCCCATGCATGAGCTAAAGTTCAGAAGCAAATATGGCCAAGTCAAAAGAGCTCTCACAAAAGCTATAGAGAACTAATTGTTTTATTACATTAGAAAGTCTGTGGCTACAAGAACATTTCCAAAATTCCTAGAGACTCAGCTGGCAGCCTTATTCATAAGTTTAATATTTGTTGTACCAGAAAACCTTTGAGGGTGTTGAAGAAAATGCACAATATTATTAAGGGGAATAAAATGTTTGATCAGAGCAACTGAGAAAAACCCTCAATTTACTATTAAAGACTTGCAAGATGACCTCATGAAAGGAGGAAGAAACATTTTAAGAGCATAAGAAGAACACTAGACAAGCACGACCTTCATGTTGGGACATCTTGCCAAATGCCACTCTTGACCAAGAAGAACATAAAAGGACAACTTGAATCTGCTGAAATTCATTTGGATAGGCGTGTGGAGTTCTGGAAGAATGTTTTATGGAGTGATGTGACAACTGGAACTTTTTGGACCCATGGATCAGCGGTATGTCTGGTGCAAAAAAGGCAAAGCTTATTAGCAGAAGAACACCATCTCCATGGTCAAACAAGGAGGCGGTTCAGTCTTGTTATGGGGGAGCTTTGCTGTTGCAGGAAGTGGAAATCTTGACTGTATGAAGGACATCATGAATTCTTTGAACTATCAAGCCATTTTGGCAAAGATGATGATGCCTCCGGTGCAGATACTGAAGCTTGATGATCAATGGACTTTCCTGCAGGACAGCCATCCGTATACATCCAAATCTACTTAAGCTTGGTTCAGGGATCAGTCGTAAGATTTAGTCATAAAGTGGCCTATACAGTCTTCAGATTGAAATCTCATTGAAAATATGTTGTGGAATTTGAAGAAAGCAGTGGTGACGTGAAAACCAAAGATTATCTGTGATCTGGAAGAATGGGCCAAGATTGCAGTAGAGAGGTGACAGCACTTACTGACAGCGTTTATTGGCGGTTATAAAGAATAAAAGATTCTCCACAAAGTTTCAATTTTGGGGGTTGAATAATTTTGAACACAAATGTTTAGAGCCAATTAGATTTTTTTTCCCCTTTTCTCAAAAACTTTACGTTCTCAAGAGTCACTCATGTGTATTAATACAATTTCTATAATAGTTTACTGATGCCTTTGTTGAATTGTTTTTAGCAAATGTTGTTCTTGGCAGCAAAATGTCTTGCAGGTCAATGGGATTGAATCATTTTGAATGCAACTATTTCATTTTAATTTGCTTCTCAAGAAACATTTCTTCTTATTATTTATCAATGCTGACAACAGTTGTGTGGCTAAATATTTTTATAGACACCGTAATGCATTCTTTTTTTAGGATGCTTTGATGAACAGAAAGTTCAAAAGCAACAGCATTTATTAAATAGAAATCTTTTGCAATGTTAAAAATGTCTTTACTGTCACTTTTGATTCATTTAAAGTCCCTGTAAAGGCAATTTCAAAAAAAAATTCTAAACACATTATAAATGTTAGAAATGTGTTGCTAAAACATATTACAAAGACTGTGAACTGTGAGGTACTGATTTGTGGAGTTAGACCGTTAAACAGTTTTTCACCATTGCTATTTTCCGGATTTTCTGGGCGGGGCTAAAACAGGGCTTGATGACGCACTGGAGCCCTTGAGCTCCTGGACACGCCCCTACTTGATGACGCACTGTAGCCGCTGAGGCTGGCCGCTCCTAACAATAATAGAGCACATTCACATCAGTTTGCCGCTCAATCGCGAGTTACTGTCAGCACTATTATTAGTAACACAGCCTACAGATTGCTAGCTACTAGCTATGCCTTCGTCACGGAAATGCGTAGGCCTACTACCTGGATGCGATCACCGGATCACGTACAAAACAGATCGGTGTCCTTATTTAAATTTCCGAAAAACGATTACATCAAGAAGAAGTGGATTAATTTTGTGAAGAGCCACCTTGATGGAGAGCTGAGGATCACCGCCAACACCCGCCTCTGTAAGTGATCATTTTACACGGGATAGTTTTATAAACTTTCGTCGGAGATAACTGTCAGGGATTCACTGATAATCCGCTGTTACTGGTGAGGGGCCGAACCGACTCCCGCCTGGCCTTCATCCTCCCGTCGCGCCGACAACTGGTGTCATCGGCAGTGCGTGTGCCCACTGCCCACCGTGCGAGCATCTATTCCGGCTGTAGAGTTGAGTGTGGCGAGTCGACGGCAGCTTTCCCGCGAGTGGGCGTGGTTTCAGCGCAGCCAGTGGACACGCCCCCAGCGTTTGAGAGCAGAGAATACTGCTCATTTCTTCAAGATTTTGATAGCTTATTTTATGTACTTGCTGGCTTTTTTTATCATTCAAATTTGGCTGGGTGACTAATAACTAATTTTTCTGTGGTGTGACAAACTCAAAACACATACTTAATTTTGACTTTACAGGGACTTTAATGCATCCTTGCTGAACAAAAGTATTATTGGAAATTATTAAGGAAAATCTTACTGACCCTAGTAAAACATGTTTTGACCAAATTCCATCCCATTAACTATAAATATGAACAAATTAGCTAAAATAAAATGAGGCCTATATTCGGTCCTAGTACCTCCAATGCTTCCCTGCGCCCCCCCAAAACCACCATTTGTTTCATTAATGTACTCAAAAATACCTCATACCTGTAATACAACAGTATTTTAATGGTAAAATATCTAAACATCATGTAATTTTATGCTAATAACACTGTTGATAACACTGTTGAGACTGTTCAGATTCGTTACGGTTGGTGGCGTGTGATTAATTGTCATTAAAATGTCACTGCATGAACCTACAAATGGTAGACTAGACTTTAGGAAAAAAATATGTAATTGAAAATAATACGTGTAGTTGATCTCTTCACATTGATTTGATTATCTGTTTTAATGTGTCAGGATTCAGGCAGCTCTCTGGCGATCTTCACAGGAGAAGAGGAGGTGTTCGCCTTCCAGAGGACGGTCTCTCGACTCACTGAGATGCAAACAGAGGAGTACTGGGTTGCAGGAGAGCGGAGCTCTAAGTAGCTTTTATCATTACTAACTCCATATACAGCAGCCATCTCAACTATCATAAGACTCAGCCTCTGGTGAGGTCTTGGGATCAACTCCATTTTGATTTGGTTGAGGATTGTATTTTAATCAGAACTGTTTGGTATAATGCTGCACTTTATAAACGCACATGCAAAAATGAACGTGACACTTTTGAAAGATAGGCAGGTTTTTTGGAGGAATCCGGATGCAAATCTGCCAAAGATATGTTTTAAAATCAGCCTGCCTTTCTGGTTTGTAAAAATGTTTTATTGACAGCCGCCTATATTGTCAGATTATTGATATGCAACCTATTTAAGATTAATGCTTGCATTAAAATTATTTTAACTTTTATTTAACCTTTCTATAGTGCTTCTGTTTCAGGTATGTGAATGAATATGGTTAATTCATTATTGTTTGTATCCATAAGAGAATATTAGTCATGTCTATTTAGGTCTAAGGAAGGAGACATGGTAACTTAGACCTTTGCTCTGCAAGAGATTCATTTATTCATTGGTGATACTTGCTCAAGTCAAGCTCATACTTATAATTTGGGGTTTGTTCAAATACATAATTCTAAGTAATATGTTTTGGTGTTTCTTACCTGTAGCACACATCGTGCATGAAGGATACCTCAAATTGTGTGGCTTGTTGATGAGAAGTGTGCCATTACTATCTTTTGTGATCACTCATGCCTACTACAGACTGTGATTTCATTACAAATCACACTGTACAACATGGATCTAATAAACTTGGGTAAAAGTCGTACCCAGTATGTAGACTGTACGATGATGTCACTTATTGAATCGTAGGCTACGACACAAGTCAAGCTAGTATAGAAGAATAAAACATCAGCATGCACTAGTGGTAAACAAATAGAGCAAGATGAATCTCACTTTGGCAATTGTGGTTTGTATGTGCTGAAAAAGAGGAGGAAGCAAAAAGAGAATATGGACGCGGTCATGGTTAGGGAAAAGAGGCCGATTTTGCAAGTGGAGCTTGAGGTAAGTAGTTTTAAGTTTTAGTTCCATGCCGTGTTGATCAATATGTCATTTCGTGTTGCATTTTAATTGGCTAGTCAGTAGACGTAGGTCGTAGCAGGAGCCACGACCACAGAAATCACCACGTTTGGTCATCTTTCGTCTGGGACAGCCCAAAATCATACGATGTGTACCGGGCATTAGAGAAGCAGCTGCATCGCAATGTCTTGGAAACAATTCTCATTTCTATAACGCACCAAATTATTTTTCATTTACTGTTCCTGTTATTTTAAAGATTATCTCTTTATTTTGAAGGTGCAAACAGTAATTGTCCCCTAATTTACAAAAATACCCCTAAGAAAATAAGTTGTACTTACAGTAGTGCACATTTAAATATGTTTTAAATCATGTAAACTTCTGTGAGACAGACTAGAGCAAAGAAAATGTGTGTGTGTGTTTAATTAAAATAAGCATATTGCAGCAGATGAAATGAAAGGTAAATCTTAGATCATCTTAAAATCATATTAGAATTTTCTTTGCTCTAGTCTACATGCGACTGGGTGAATCTCAAAACCTGTCACCAAAACAGAATCTCATATTTTTAAACCAAAAGATAAGAAAAAATTAATTTGATTGTGCATTTAACAAATTAAACCAGTTTTATGGCCATTAAGAGCATTTGTCAGTCATGTAATGACAATTGTTATCTGCTGCAATATTCTTATTTTAATTAAACACACACACACACACACACACACATATATCTCTCTGTGTGTGTGTGTGTGTGTGCATATATATGATATATATATGTGTGTGTGTGTGTTTTTAATTAAAATAAGAATATTGCAGCAGATAACAATTGTCATTAGCTACATGACTGACAAACGCTCCTAATGGCCATAAAACAGGTTTAATTTTAAATGCACAATCTAATTCGTTTTTTCTTTTCTTTTGGTTTAAAAATATGAGATTCTCTGTTTTGGTGACAGGTTTTGAGATTCACCCAGTCGCATGTTCTTCAGAGAATGAAAACATTTAGTTGCAGTCTGAGTCTACTGCAATGCTCTTAGCCTGTCTAGAAGCAAATTATTGGAGAGAGTGTATGAAATAAGAGCTCTTGTGATGGCATATCTGTGTAATGTGCAGATGACGTGCGTGGCAGTGGATTGCGAGCTTCAGCTCTGCTCTCCGGCCCTTTAAGAAGCAGTTCCTCTGACTGGTTCCAGGGGGCGCATGATCCGTGTGTTACTGTTCTTTTCTTTAGTTTGCAGCGGAGCAGCAGCGCATTAGGGGCTTTAGTAGTGCTGGATCGGCCGGGTTGCGGGACGCAACGTCCTGCTCCGACATGGAACAGGGATCATGGAGGTTTATTGGGAAAAGCGGCGTGTTTGTTAGGACTTATTCGTGTTGATTTGCGGAGGGGCCGATGTGGAGGTATGGCTTGGTCATTTGAGGATACTTTCGCTAACGTACAGCTTTTCTGATCGCTTTAAATCAAAGATTTTTTTTTTTAAGACGGCAGCTGCGTTCTGAAACGAAGTATCTTTTACATCATGATGTAATGTTACAATGTAACACGTTTGCAGCGCGACGTCATGCAACAATATAACAAATTCGAGCGTCCGCTCTGTTACACTCTTTATGCTTTTTGAACCACGGAAGCTTCATTAAACGAGCATTTTCGCTGGTTTATTTGTTTTCCTACGGACTCTTAACACTAACCAAATCGAGCGAGATTCTCATACGAATCCGTCTATATGTTGTAAGCGGACATAATGTACTTGAACGCATTTGTAAATATTCCTAAACATCTCATAACATCAATTCGATTCTCGAAGTGTCCCGCATTGAAATGTGGACTCTAGAAGTGATCCATTAATGGCATGCACGAGGGCACTGCTGCCGTTGTGTTCAGAAAAGCCGTCCATTTATCATTCATTTGAAGGAGTCGAGGAAATATGGCAGATGAGATAGATAAGCCCTCGGCTGTGGACGTGGACGTCGACATAGACCCTGATTTCGAGCCCCAAAAAAGGCCCAGGTCTTGCACCTGGCCTCTACCCAGACCAGAGTCCAATGCTGGCAAAGCAGAACCAGGAGAGGTGGGAATCATTCCCGAGGAAGAGGTGGATGAAAATGGCACTGATGATGCGTGTGCATCTGGTGACATTACAGGCGCATCAAAGCCAGTCAGTGTCACAGAAGGAAAGGAGAGTTCTGCTGCTCTTGGCATAGAAACCAATGCTGCTCTCAGTGATAAAGACACCTATGGCTCTCCTGTTTCTTCCCAGCATGCTCTGCCCTCCGCCTGCAACGACTCAGGCATCAATGGTCTGATTCCTCAGCAGCCCAGAAAATCCTCTGCCCGCAGGAACGCCTGGGGAAACTATTCCTACGCAGACCTCATCACTCAAGCCATCGAGAGCACGCCTGAGAAGAGGCTGACTTTGGCCCAGATTTATGATTGGATGGTCCGGAATGTGCCATACTTCAAGGACAAAGGTGACAGCAACAGCTCTGCGGGATGGAAGGTACGTCGGGTCAAAGAGACGGGCTGGATTTTAACCTTGACTTGCTTATCAGGAGTGTTTATGTTTGTAATATGTGTGTCCATTTGTTGCAGGCAGTCTTTTGTAACACAGAGCTTCATGGCCTTATCAAAACAATGCTTATATTTTTACAGGGTGGTAAAATGGCACAGATGCTGGAAATGTGGACTACTAGTCATGTCATGTGTGGTTTGCTGATTAAGTGATGCTGCATTCATGCCAAAGGGCGTAACAGCAGATGCATTGAGAAAGGTGCCACTGATAAACTGGACATTTTAAATGGCCCCTTGCCTTATCATTTCCAAGTATTGAAGCTTGATAACAAACATAGTAGTCATAGCCAATATCTATAATATTTGCAATAATCGTTTATTGTATCATCAATATGATCGCACTTCCATGAATTGATTGTATATCATCTCTCTTTTTTTTTGAGCGTTGGCATTTTCAACGCTCTCTTCTCTTGTCAATGTTTGATTTCAGGGATTAGCTTGGCCTGGATAAACATGGAATCAAGTCTAATGAATGCTCTTGGTATAGCTGCGTTTGAATTAGAGAAAAACCTCAGGAAATCCCTGTGCAATCCTGCAGATGTAAGGCTGGTGAACTGCTGTTGTGCAGATATTACATTTTAGAAAGACGATTCGGCACCTTCACAAACAAGCTATGCCAAGTGCATTATAAATGCTTGATATGTTGATTCAAATGATTCATTCACTTGAATCATTTGATTCAAATGATTACTTGATAATCATTTGAATCCGTTTTGAGTCAATGTTGTACGTTTCATTTGAAATTTGGTTTTCAAATGAAATGACTACAGTCATTCTGTAGTCCATACTAACATGCAAGTTAGTCAGCAAAACCGAATGTTAAAATCCTTTCAGTTTGCTAAAGCATACATTTTGGTTCTTCAAAGAAAAAAGGTCTGTTCTTCCTACCAATCAGATTTTACGAACAGCCAACCTGTTCAGTGCAGATAAAGCCATCCTGCAGAGTGTTTGCATCTGCCTGCCACTGAATGAGGAAAAAAGAGAAACCATAGGCATATCATCAGTTGCAGGGTTTCTATTGGCTGTTTGGTCCCCACCTCCACTTCCTATTGGCTCTCGGGTACAGCATAAGAAGCAATCAGCTGACTGGAAACTATGTAGGTCAGTGTGTAGCAACGTGTGAAGAGCTTTGGTGTTTGACTCTGAGATACAGCATTGTGTGTAAACTGGCAGTGCTCCAGTGCTGTTCTGAGTGGTGCTTTGCTCAAAAGGGACTGCATCATGGCTTTCAGATGATTTCAGCCCTTATTTTCATCCATTATAGTTATTCTTCATGGTCCTGTGTGGATTTAATTCAATAGAAAGCGGTACCACAGAAGTTTTAAGATGATTTTCATTGCTAAATTCACATACCCTGACACTCTATTTAATGCAATGGGTTACTAATATGAGCAGTTTATAAGCGGGTAAATCTGTTAAGAATGTTTTTATCTCACCTCTTTCTGCTCAAATTCATGTTATCGTAATGCTGAACCCTCATTATATATCAATATTGACCTAATTATTCATTGTAATGTGGAAAATGTGAATTATTTAAATTATGAAGTGCATTTGTACAATTGTAAGTATGCACCATGGTGGTATTTGCTGAACTGAGTTGAACTTATTCTGATTTTGAGAGTAGGTTTTCCCCACATTGCTTGTCTGTAAATCAGGGTAAAAATTGTTAATCGTCACAATGCAAAAATAGGCTTAATTTTGTTCATGAAATTATTTTCTTCTTTTGAGGTGAATTATGATATCTGCAATTTTATTTATCTCTTTATTTGTGTGATTTACCCTTTGGCTACATAAAGTCACAGGGAATAGGGGGTTCTGGTGGCCTACTGTTTAATGATCAAGCCTCTTAATGCTAAACTTACAGATTTAGTGCCCAATGGGGGTGAGCCGTGTCCGTTGCACCTGTGCCCTTGTTCAAGTTGCTTAACCTTAAGGTGATTGAGTAGAGCTGTAGCTGAATTTGCCATTTCGGGAGATGGTTTTTGTCCATCATTATAGTCAAGGCAGGTCAGAACAATACTACTTCATCTCGATTTCTTTTTGAAGCCTTAGATGAGAATTTTCATGAACATTAGAACATTATAAACGTAGAATGCCTTTTGATTGCATCTGCAGAAAAAGCTAACATGGATAAAATAAACATTGAAACTGGTTTGATCACTGATTCAGTTTGGCATTGAAGATACTGTTCTCATTGTAAGCCTAGTTTGTAATGATCTGTTTTGTAATCGATGTAGCTATGATTGTCAACAAACAATCCGATGCGTGTGTCTTAGATTAGATTCTCAATCCAATCAATTCAGTTAGCCAGCTTAACAAAGCAAAAAAGGAGAACTGCTTACGTACTTTACGAATGTGTTGGGATACATGTTGTTCTTAGAATAGGAAAAAGTTCTGTCACGGATTAAATCCAGTAATCCAGTAGGCTTGAAGCAAAGGCATTAATGGAAGTGTAGTGTCATGAGGTCTGTCCATTCACTCTTTTGAGAAGTTCAAAGGTCAGTAAAGTGATGTTCACAGGACAATGTTGAGTAGAGACCAGCTTTCTTCAAGTTGTATCAGGCACAGCATTGGTAAATTCACACCATTTTGTCAGACTGCTTGACTATTCATCAAAAAGGAAACCCATTTCTCGCTTGTGAGTTTTATCACATCTCCTGATGCTGCATTATGGATTGCTGTACCTTCTGTGCTGCAGTCCACATTAATGCAGCTTCACTGCGCTGCACTCTTAAACTTTGTACATGATTGAGGAATTCTCGCATAGCTTTCTCTGCACTGGAAAAATACATTGTTAGATGCGAAGCTTGAACTAGAATAATGTCTCATTACTGTCTTGAGAAAATCTTGGTGAGCAAATGTTAAGTTATCCACAGTTTTACATACAGTAGTTGGCTTGTATAGGGTGGTTTGTAAATGTCTATTCAGAGCTCCAAAATGTAACTAGATTTCGTTAGTGATTGCACTGGAGTACCTACAAAATTGCCTGTTTTCTCATGCATGCATATGTGAAATGTCAAAAGCCGAACACTCAAAAGTTACCCAGTTGAACTGCACAGCGCGGACCAATTATCTCGAAAGCCCAATGGACGGTGCAGAGAGGGTTGATTTATTTGAAGTCTGGTCTTGACCACACAGCCCAGACCAATTTGAACAGTGTGAGAAATTCAAATGGGCACTGCCCTTCTTCTATTTTCTGTATTTTCTCTGGACTGGTTTCTTTGTTAAAAGTGAGAATTACAATTGAAAATTATTGTTACACGGTTTTCAGCCGTACACTGGTTACATCACTTGGCCACCGTGGCAACGCCCAACAACACCCTTTGTTATTTTTTTAATAGTAAAAAAAAATAATTTAGTTAATTTGGAGAAGAGCATTGCTCAATTCAGCGTGAACCGAACGAGAGTCACAGCAGGAGTCAGATTTAATTTATCATGGTGAATGCAGTGCTTATTCGTTTTGTTAATAAAGCCGTCTTACTAGTTTTGTTAGTAAAAGTTCTGTTTAAAGGATTAGTTCACTTCAGAATAAAAATTTCCTGACATTTACTCACCCCCCACGTCATCCACGATATTCATGTCTTTCTTTAGTCGAAAAGAAATTAAGGTTTTTGAGGAAAACATTCCAGGTTTTTTCTCTGACTTCAAGTAGACTTCAACCACGTTTTGAAGGTCCAAATTGCAGTTTCAATGCAGCTTCAAAGGGGTCTACAGGATCCCAGACGAGGAATAAGGGTCTTATCTAGCGACACGATCGGTCATTTTCTAAAAAAAAATACAAATATATATATATATATATATATATATATATATATATATATATATATATATATACTTTTTAACCACAAATGCTCGTCTGAATTTTAATTCTGAAGTGAACTAATCCTTTAATATAAGCGAATTGTCTTTGTACTGTTTTGTTGTGTTTTTCATTTAGAATAATAATGAACCCTCCATTCAAGCAAATGTCGCTCCAAATTGCCACTAATTTGAAAGTGAATGTAAAATGCGCATGGCCGCACTGGCATTCATAAGCGATTTAAAAGCGAGGTGGAAAAGAGGGAAAAACTCCAATGTTTTTCACCCTGTACCCATACCGGTATTATTGGTGTTTCACACATCGATTACCCTATGGAAACCACAAATGCCTAGTTGTTAATTCAACACACTCAACAACAGCATTGACATGGAAATAAGGATTGATTGATTGAGTTGATTTTATTTGTTTAACTTGCATAAACTCATTGAAAGTAATTTGAGTTATGCTTTAACATTTTTTTTTAACAAAACACATGGACTCTATTGGTCAGAGGGGTCGCATGACTCATCAATCTCTGAGTAAAGCAATCAAGTTAAAGTGGCATTGTTCCTTACTCAGCATTATGCACTATTGATTCCAAGATTATTTGGCCATTATATAACGTTAGGCCATTATTCTGCTTTTTAATGGCCCTATTGGTTAATGAATAAAGCTGAGGGATTTAAAACCGGCTGTATATATGTATGTTTCAAGCATGTCTTATGATGCACAGCTCACCATCTACTCTTCTCTTTTCACAGAACTCAATACGACATAACCTGTCACTCCACAGTCGCTTTGTCCGGGTCCAAAATGAAGGAACAGGAAAGAGTTCATGGTGGATGGTCAATCCTGATGGCGGAAAAGGGGGAAAAGCCCCTCGGAGACGTGCAGTTTCCATGGACAACAGTAATAAGCTCATCAAGAGCGCCCGTGGCCGTGCCGCAAAGAAAAAGGCAGCTCTTCAGGCTACTCAGGACGGAAGCTCAGAGAGTTCCTCCAGCCTGTCCAAATGGACCGGCAGCCCGACCTCCCGCAGTAGCGATGAGCTCGATGCTTGGACGGATTTCCGTTCTCGCACTAATTCCAATGCCAGCACCCTAAGCGGACGCCTTTCTCCGATTCTGGCCAACCTCGAGATGGACGAAGTTCCTGACGACGACTCTCCCCTGTCGCCCATGCTGTACTCCAGCCCTAGTAGTATGTCTCCATCCACCGGGCTGACCGAACTGCCCCGTCTAGCTGACCTTGCAGGAACCATGAACCTCAACGACGGCCTCTCCGACAACCTAATGGACGACCTTCTAGACAACATCAGCTTGACTGCTTCCCAGTCTCCAGGTCAAGATGAGAGTGGGGCCAACCTACAGGGAAGCCCTGTGTTTACCTTCAGCTGCTCTGGGAGCAGTCTGGCAATTCCCACTGGCAGCTATGGCACTAACTCCATGTTCAGCCCTCCGTGTGTCACCGCCCTGAGGCAGTCTCCAATGCAAACAATCCAGGAAAACAAGCAGGCTACGTTCTCCTGCGGTTCCCTCTTTAGCGAACAGAGTCTGCAGGACTTGCTCAGCTCCGAGTCCAACAGTCACAGCGATGTCCTTCTTACCCAGTCTGACCCGCTTATGTCACAAGCCAGTGCCTCCCTTTCCTCCCAGAATGCCCGTCGTAGTGCGCTGTTGCTGCGTAATGATCCCATGATGTCCAACCAGGCTGGGCCTGGAGGACAAGCAGGGCTCAAGAAGGCGTCGCCATCGGGATGGCGGATGAACTGCAGCGAGTCAGACTACCAAAGCTTGATGAAGCAACATCTCCAACAGTCTCCCTTCAGAAGCACATCTATGCAGCTCAACTCCTCTGATTCATTGTTGGCAGGTCTCAATGGCAGCGTTTCCTCGGTTCAATTGGCATCTCAGGACCGATTCCCATCTGAATTGGATCTTGAGGCGTTAAGTGGGAGTTTCGATTGCGACATGGACACCATCACTCGCAACGATCTGATGGATGCCGATGGCCTGGAGTTCAGCTTCGATTCCCATCTTATCTCCTCTCAGAATGCTAACCTGACTTCAGAGAGCTTCTCCAGAACCAAACGAACCTCCTCCCAAAGCTGGGTACCAGGTTGATCCGGCCAGGCCCAGGAATGTAGGGACGGACAGAACACCGCATTTGAGCCAACTGTCCACTGTAAAGCAACTGTACATTATGCTGTAGAAAAGCTATTTGACATCCATTGGAATCAGTTTGAGTTAACGTCAATGATTTACCCAGTCGGTGTTGTAGTTGTGTGTTTTGTATTGTCATGATTGAGGCTGGTTTAATGGACGTTGTAAAGTGTTTCACCCAATTTAACCTTGAAGTGCTTGCAGGTTAATCTAATTGCCAGTGACTAGGTAATGAACTCCGCTGCTGGAATATGGTAGGTGTAGTATCGTAAACAAAAGGTTGTCTATATATGAAGACTTGAAGGTCAGTACTTCCCTTAGTCCATCTACAAAACAAAATCCCTGAATCCACCACTGTGTATGAGGGTGCCTGCACACTAGAGAAAGCTCTTACAAATGCATTTGAGAGTGCGGAAAGAGTTGGGTCAGTTTGACAACCAAGTAAGAATCTTGAATTCTCTAGTACCTACGACAGAAACTGGTACCTGCGACTGGCATTGCAGTGAAAGTTAAAATATTCTCAACTTTTGGTCGTCACTTTAGCAAACCCTGGCATTTTCTTTGTCGTTGCGATAAGTTATCCCAATTGAAATCAAGTCTAGTCTGTACTCTAGTCTGAAGGTGCCCTTAGTTAATTTATTGTAACCGTAATCAAGATTAATAGATTTCCAGTCCTCACATTGAAACAAACACTTGCCTTTTGCCAAACGTGTCCTCTACTGGACAATTGCAACAATGGCCTGTTTACAATATGAACTATTGAGAATGTTTTTCGTTGTCCGAAAAAATGGCCATGAAAAATCTGTCTGTTTCTCAGATTATTTTTCATAAAACTGAAAAGGGGAAGTTATTGTGTTTTTGTGAAACCAGTGATCATATTGTATCCTTGACTCCTTTTATGGAAAAGTGAAATATGATGATGATAAGCTATGTATTTAGTGTTCTGCTGTATGAAACTAGTTTGTCAGTGTTTCCCATGGATTTCCTAACAAAACCTGCATTTATCCTGCTCGGGGGTTCTTGAACACGAGCATCTCAATCACCCCTAAACCGCTTTTACTTCCGATGTCAACCATTTTAGAATAGATTATGAGCTATATATTTGTATTTTTGTATGTGTTTATACACTCACACACATGGGGCCTCATTCATGAAGTAATTGCTGTATAAATGATTTATAAAATCTGAGTAGTTGAACAATTTAGACATTTGTAAAACAAAATTTTGTTCATTAATTGATACTTTCAATTTGATTAGTGATTATGTGTGCATATACTGTACAGTCTGTATACATGCATGCCACCATTTACTTTAGAATGGGTTTACAATTTCTGCCTAAATCATAGATTTCTGTTGTACTTGTATTTCATAAATGAGGTCCATGGTGCATCTGTGTATGTGCTGTACACTGAATATGTGTGCGTGTGTTCACACATAAATATTGGATTTATTCTAAACATAAGGTATATTAACAATTATAAAATTTGGAACGCTGATTAAGGACCACTAGATGTTTGTGTATTTGTAGCAGGATAAAATTAAGCTAAGCATTTGGTGCTAAGTGAAATTGTGTTGGGTCAGTTCATATGGCTGGCATGTTACTTTCTTAGCATTTATGTGTACATTTCTACACAATGGCTGGTGCTAGTAGAACGTGTCCATCAGTTGTTATGGCAGTGTGTTTGAAGCATCCTAACAGTTTTTAAATGAAAGGCAGCCACATTGTAGTATATGGATAAGCTATGTAAGAAAGCACCTACGTTGTACTGTATTTCACTGTTGGTCTTGAACATGCCAGACAACCAAATTTGAGGCTGGTGAAAAATAATGCAACTATTCAGTCTGATGAAATAGTAGTGCCATTCAGGGACAACTTGCAGGCGGTTCAATAGTTGTAACCTAATGTTGTTTTAACATCACAGTCGAATGTACCTTTTGTTAAGGTCCGTTTCACACCCAGAATTTTTAAAAGCCTCTTATAAGCAATGATTTTTTATAATCTGCTTTTTATAATCAGCTGGAGTCACAGAATTTAAGATGACTATAAAAAGTTGATTGTGCTGTGTTTACCTTTGTTTACTTACTGTAGTTTCACATTGTGTAATCCGTTTCAGCATCATAAATGGCATCCTCAAAATCGAAATGCTTTTAATTCTTGGTTTTCATATTCTTTGGGTAGGATCATCGTACTTCGCGAAAGAACTACTACAATTTTTATTCATTTTGAATTGTAATCTTTAAGAAGGAATTAACATGAATTGTGAAGACGAAACCTCCGTGTGTAGCACCTCACACCACAGTTGGCCGTTAGTTAGCATCCACTCAATGTTTGCTTGACTTTACCTGTGTATTTCCATTTTGGATAATGTAAACAAGGTAGTGCAAGGCAAGGTGCATGTAAATAAAGCTTGTATTACACAATATATATTTTTGTCAGTCTTTATTTTAATATGTCATAGAATAAGCAACTGATATAATGCGTGTGCGTCTGGTCACTAGATATTTGCAAAAAAACATGCAATGTGCCCTAAAATTCTGAAGCCACACACACAGTATATTGAAATTTTGTGTACAATTTAATCTGGATATTTTTGTTATTCCAAGTGAATGTATTAATTTAATCACAGCTACTGCTTTCAGTGGAGTCCATATCAAGGGGCTCTTGTTGGCAAACCTCCTCTCATTTATTTGATTTTAGTGGCACAGTTTTCTGTGGATCATGACTTAAAGATATTTTTCATCCAAAAATGATGACCAATGATTCACCCAATATTCATTGCATACTCACCCTCATGTGGTTCCAAACCTGTATGAATTTCTTTCTTCTGCTGAACACAAAAGATGATATTTTGAAGAATGTTGGTAATCAAACATTTGACGGTAGCCTAGCCATTGACATCCATAGTAGTAAAAAAAATATTATGGAAGTCAATGTCTACGATCAACTCTTTGGTTTTGACCATATCTAGCAGAGGGGCATAGAGATCCATTATTTTTTCTGGATGTGGCTAACTGCTCCTATCACAACTTTTTTGATTATATTTTTCTAATATATATTAAAACATTATAAAATACATTGAAGTCAGTATTTTTGTGAAAGGTTAGAATTTGTTGTTTGAAGTGTCTGTTTTTGCAATAATGCCATACAAATTTGCAAAAATATAACTAAAATGCCACAAAAAAACTAAGTGTCAGATTCTATTCACAAATTATTGATTTCAATAAACCAAATCACTAATTTTAGAATAAGAAATTATAAAAAAATCTATGTAAATAAAACCAATAGCAATTAGCAGAAATGAACAGGAGTTGTGTGTGTGTGTGTGTGTGTGTGTGTGTTAGGTCTCACCCCCTTCGTATCGGCATTTTTTTCTGCATTTGTGGCTGATTTTGTTTGCCAAATTCTATACAAATGCTGTCTGTTGCAGTCACGTGTGTGTGTGTGTGTGTGTGTGTGTGAGAGAGAGAGAGAGAGAGAGAGAGAGAGAGTGAGTGTGAGTGAGCATGTTTGTTCCACACTGCATTTGTGCTCTAGAACCAGGCCTTCATTTCTGTGTGAAAATTTTCAGATTATTCTAGATTGATTGATTATTGAAAAATGAAAAAAAAAAAACTCGAATTTTTTGCCTTTCCCATTCATTTTCAATGTGGGGTCTGTTTGGAACAACCAAATCAAGCTCAGTGTGTGTGTGTGTGTGTGTTTAGATAGATAATGTAACAAAAGTCACAAAATCTTATGCCACTGAGATGAATGGAATTTTTTTTTATTTTTTTTATGAGGAAACATCAAATGGAGTCCTAACCCTATGAGGGTTAATGAAAACCCTGTTTACTTTCCAGGAGAATAGAGATATAGCTAAAATACACTTGAAAAAGAACAAGTCCAATCTATGCTCTAGTCTAGGTTATTTGGCTTAAAGGAATAGTTCACTTCAAAATGAAAATTCTGTCATAATTTACTCACCTTCAAGTTGTTTCAAACCTGTATGAATTTCTTTCTTCTGCTGAACACAAAGGAAGATGTCGGTAACCAGACAGTTGATGGACCCCATTGACTTCCATAGTAGGAAAAAAAAAAAAAGACTATGGAAATCAATGAGGTCAATCAATTGTGTTCAGCAGAAGAAAGAAATTCAACTAAAACAGGTTTGAAACAACTTGAGGCTAAGTACATGATGACAGAATTTTCATTTTGAAGTGAACTATTCCCTTTTTAAACTTGTTTATCAAAGGTCATAAAGTTATCTTTGGTTTTCGTAAACTCATATTTGCTCGAAATATCATGTACATTCACTCTGATTTATCACTCCATTTTCTTCCTGTTACGCCTTAATTTTGTCACTTTAAAAAATAACCTCCAGAGCATGATGTATCCAACACTGTTCTTTTACAGTAAGCATGATGCAACTGAGGTGTTTGATTTACACTGAACAGTGTTTTGCTTTCCGATAATTTCCCCCAAAAGGTTTTGGGTTTTGTAACATGGCTTGGCTTCTAAACACTCGCCCAAAGTGACAAATTCTGTGAATGACAAAAAAAGATTGTTGGTTTCTGGACAGTTTCATTTCAACCCAGACTTAACAAGAGGGTTCAAACCTTTGCCAGTCTTGTTCTTTTTCTAGCTTTCACCCCTATGAAGGGCATCCAGATTGTCTATGGTAACCAAGGAGATGTGTCTTTTGAAAATGTATGAAATGTTCTCTTAAATAAAGTCCCTGTTGTTGTTTGATTGCTGATCTTTTTTTTTTTATTAGTGTGTATTCATGCACGTGTAGCAATCACGCTCATTCATATTCGCTGTACAATCAGTGGGATTGATTGTGTTAAGAAAATCATTCATAATGTTTTACTGCTCTCTGCAGGGAGGAAAACAACCCCCTAGTGACAATAGCTGTAAAATGTGGCCCGAGTCCTTGTGCACTCATTGGTGGGACGGCACCTTGGTGATGATCTCTCATTGGCTACCGGCTGCTTTTACCACGAACCAATCGGAGCTCCTGTATCCAAGTCAACTTGGAATGTTGTGCTATTTAAATCCAGAGAAGGTAAATCTGATTTATTAAATTATACATTGAGAATCGACTGATTGAAAATGATTCTCGCTGTATGGTTTAAAGTGACAATCTTATAAATGTCTATATGTCTGTCTGTCAATCTGTCTTTAAATATGTCTGTCTGTCTAAGGCTTGACTAACTCAGTCAACCCAGACGCTGTTTGGGGTCTTGCAATTTACAAGATCAGTATAAGGACTATTTCATGTGAAATCAAGTAGGCCTAATTTAAAAAGATGCTGTTCATGACTTCAGGTAGAGCTTACATGTCTGTCCTCTTTGTGTCAGCACAATACAAATGACTCACTTGCCTGCGTTTTCATCGCCATCTGCAGGTTAAAAGCCACATGTAGGCCTATAGCTGTATGTAGACAGACTAACACCTTTTGATACAAGCAAAGATATTTGCTGCACAGAGATGTGACACAGTGACACTACAGTACCTACTACATACACACAAGTTAATTTTAACACAATAATATTATTTTGTATCAAAGGAATGCTTATGGAAAAAATAATCAAATAATAGCCTACTCGTTCATTCTTTTGAGGATTCTAATTTGAGCCCTATAATAGCCATATACTAAATTTGTGTGTGTGTGTGTGTGTTTTAACAAACCTAGCTTGGGTTCAGATTTGAAGCTTTGATTTACCGCCATTCATTTGAAGTGCGCGTCTGTTTCTATAACAACTGCGCAACCACCGACCGACACAAACACTGAAGCAAACGTTTGGAACGTATCACACTTTTTTAAAGTTCCAAAAGCTTTAAAAGCTTTTTTTCTATCTATTGAATCAAACTGCTCTACATGCAACCACTACAGTCAGCTTTACAGCTGCAAGGACAGAACGGAACGACAGCATGAGTTTCTGAGCACAAACGGATTGTGAATTGAAGATGTCACAGACATATAGACTTGGCTCCTCGGTGAAGGTGGAGCAGCTGCAAGAAGAACTATCCGCTCAGATTCAGGCTCTGAGGACTGAGATCGAGGACAATGAGATGTTACATAAAATATCCTCAAAACCATACAGGTAACGTTAAGACTAATACAGAGTATAGTTCACCCCAAAATGAAAATTTTGTAACTACTAACTAACCCTCACACAAATAAAGATGTTGTGAAGAATGCCGATAGCAGCTAACAACTTGACTTCTATGGTAGCCTAGGCTACTTTTGGGGTAACAGTTATACGGTAAGCAAGCTTGTTTCCGCCACAGAATAAATATAAAAAAGGTGCGAGTTTTTATCTCACAATTTTTGCTGTTTTTCTCGCTGTTTTTCTCGCAATTGCGAGTTTACATCTCGAAACTTTGACTTTTTTTCTTACAATTGCGCAAAAAGTTTTTCTTACAAAACATACTTTTTCTTACAAAAGGTCGCAATTATCTTTTATATTGTTTTATTCCGTGGCAGAAAACAGCTTTATGGCTACCATCAATTGTTTGGTTACCCACATTCTTCAAAATGTCTTCTTTTGAGTTAAAGAAGAAGAAAGAAACTCATACAGGTTTGAAACAATTTGAGGGCGAGTAGCCTAAATGATGACAACATTTAAAAATGTTTTGGTTGAAGGTGAACTAACCCTTGCTTTCACTCCTATAACTTAAATGAGTCATTAACAAACATTATAAATTCAATTATGTAATGCTTAGCATTAATGTTCATTCTCAGTTAAAAAAATGCCATTGAACTTGATTCACCATTCATATTTTGTATCCAATAGACCAAACTATTACTCTTGCCAACTTTTTCAGCTCTGTCCATATTCCAAAAGATGCGTCTTACTTTCGTATGGAGAGGCAGCAGGTGCTCCTTAAAGCTCTGCAAGTGAGTTTGTACAGTTATTTGAGTTCTTAATTCGTTTTTTAAGCCCCTGCATCTGTTTATTTGACATCCCTTGTTGTCGTTGTTGCAAATGACCTGTGACTTTAGGTTTCGTCCACAAAGCCTGTTGTGTCACAAGCAGAAGTGGCTGAGAGAGAGATGGAGAGCTGTCTGACACAAGAGCACACACCTGACGGTCTACCCTTACTGCTGCATCAGGTCAGTTACGAGCTGTTTTATTGTGCTTCTTTCATAACTGATGGACTTTACACAGTTAATGACATGAACTGATTCAACACTGAACTGACTGAACTCAACACTGGACTCTTGTCTTTTTTTTAGAGCTGCTTTGCATCAGAATTTGAGTTTGCATCTGTTATTCTCCTGTTTATCACTGTAAATCTGCTTTGAACGAATCTGTATTGTATAAAGTCATATATAAATAAAGGTGACTTAACACAATTATAATCTTGTATTAAAAGCATTTCTGAAAATATTGGCTCCTTTCTTAACAGTTTTACACAGATCAAACGTATAAACTGGCACGGTGCAAATACCAGCTGATGCTGAGATGGAGGAGATTCGGTCGCCATTCCACTGTCTTGGAGAAACTATATCCTCAATATAAAGTAATCTAAAATTCTGCATTTTAGAATATTTTCATGCATTCAGTGGCAAAAGGAATCTATTAATCCTGTCCCCAATGCTTTGTGTAGAAACAGATCACACATTTAAGCAATGAATTTGAAGACTCTGTGCACCGGGCACGTCGTCTTGCCGTGTCCAGAGAGAAGGTCCTGGCAGGTGTGGAGAGCCCCGTCGCTGTGCTCACACAGGAAGATGTCATCATTTACCTCCAGTGGCTTATTTGTCATCTGCACTCCATCAAAAGCATCTTCAACTTTCTGCATGTGAGAATACATCAGAACACTGGGTAACACTTTAGTTTGAGGACCAATTCTCACTATTTACTAGTTGCTTATTAGCCTGCATATTACTAGCATATTGGCTGTTTATTATAATAATGTGTGCTATAAAGCACATATTAATGCCTTATTCTGCATGACCTTATTCTACATCCCTTAATCCTACCCAATACCTAAACTTAACCACTTACTATTAAAGGGATAATTCACCCAAAAATGAAAATTGTGTCATCATGTACTCACCCTCATGTTGTTCCAAACCTGTATGAGTTTCTTTCTTCTGCTGAACACAAAAGGTTGGGTTTACATCCAAACGGGAAGCAAATCTTTTCAAAGTTAGCAAAAACAACAACAAAAAAACAAAAACAAATGTGTTTTCATCAAGTTGTTCGAGCTAATGACAGTGGTATTGGTAACCTAGTAACCAACAGTAAATAAAACACCATCAGCAGAAACAGCCGCTACGGTGAAACAGTATGAAAACAATGGCTACGGTCAACTGTTTAATTACCAACATTCTTTAAAATATATTTTGTGTTCAACAGAAGAAAGAAACTATTACAGGTTTGGAACAACTGACAAAAATGACACATTTTTGGGGTGAACCAACCCGATCTCACGGCAATTCGTACGAATTTTACGAGGTGGCTAATTCGTACAAATTCGTACGATTTTTGCTAATTCGTACATATTTTACGACTTACCAAATTCGTATGAATTCGTACGAATGACCTACCCCTGACCCCGCCCCTAAACCTACCCATCACGTGGGTTTAGACAAATCGTACAAATTCGTACGAGTGAGGTCGTATGAATTAGTACGAATTAGCCACCTTTTAATCACTCGTACGAATTCGTACGAATTGGTCGTGAGATAGCGTTGGGTGAACTATCCTTTTAACAAGCAGTAAATTAGGAGTTTACTGAGGCAAAAATCATAATTAATAGTGAATATGTGTTCTCCAAACTAAAGTGTGACCGAACACTGTAAAAAGTGGTAACTTGCAATTTCTACCTGATTTAACCACTCAAAATGAGTTTTGTTGGTATAAAAGGTTCAGATATTGGTTGGTTCAGTGAGGTTATATTATACTTTTAAAACCAGTTCATTTACCAATTTTCAATGAACGTAACCAAATCGTCAAGACTGGGTGTCAGGATTCAGAGAGGGGGGACCCAGACGCAGAATGAGCAGGGGAATGATATTTATTAACAGAAGACACAGTACAAGATAGGTGAGGTGGGAAGTCCGAACAATAGGCCAGGGCAAACAACTGGAGAACAGGCTGGTCTGGGAAGAGACAGCTCCAGACACGACAGCAACAAGGCAGCAGCTTGAGGAGCTAGAGGCTTGGCACAGAGAGATGCAACTGCTGAAGCACCAGAGCTGGCTGCCAGGCCAAAGAGAGTCAACGACCAGGGAGGACACAGGAAGCAGCGCAGGAACCAACACAGGACAAGACAAAGACACACAAGGAAACATTAAACAAAGACAAAACAGACAAGACTGTCAGGGCAGAATCCTGACCCTGGGGGAGAACAAATGTAAAAGCAGTAAGAATTCTGAGTCCTAATACACTGTAAAAAGACATTCAGTTGACCTATAACTTAAATAATTGCATGTTTTTTTTAACATTATTTACTTATTTAATTACAAATTTAAGTTGCAAACATTATTTTGATGAGTTCTGTTGACATAATGTTGATCACTACATAAAGTTACATTTTTACATTTACATTTAGCTGACGCTTTTTATCCAAAGCGACTTACAATTGCTATATATGTCAGAGGTCGCACGCCTCTGGAGCAACTAGGGGTTAAGTGTTTTGCCTAGGGACACATTGGTGTCTCACAGTGGATTCAAACCCGGGTCTCTCACACTAAAGGCATGTGTCTTATCCACTGCGCCATCACCACCCCCCCACATAAATGTAATATTATATCATTTAAACTCAAATTTCTGTGTCATTTGATTTTTTTAATAACTTAATGAAATTGTCTTGATTTCTAGTTAGCATACTTTGCATAGATCTGATGAGGAGAGTAAATGTTGAAATGAAATGTTATTTTATGTGTTTTTTAGGAAAGGGAAAGATCTGTTAGTGTTTCATGCTGTTATGTTTCTGCTATGTTGTGTATGTTTTCGAAGAGTAGTTCTCATGGTTGGGTTGTGTGTGGCTTCATGAAGGTTTACACTACACTGAGCAATGACTCTGCTAATGCCAGTAATAAGTAATATCATACTTGTTCATTAAGTTTTCTTTTCATGCTAAGCTACAGTTAATAAGTTACTGCATGTGCTATGCTAGCTGTTGGTTATAACTGAAATGTAGAAGCATAACTGGTTCTGGTTCTTTTTTGTTTGTAATTAACTTCCTCTAACTTAGTGTAATTTGTTGAACATACAGTAATTACATAAAACATTTTGTTTAGAGTCAGTGTAGGGAGGACATGTCCATTTCAATGTCTATGATGTTTGTCAACTAACAATCAATGATAATTGATAAGAACAATCTGGTTTTCATTTTCATTATATTGTAGGTTCTTCATTATCTCCCTTCGACCGAGTGGAATGAGGATCAGATGTCCAACGCTGTAGAATTGACATCTCCTGCATATTTTGCTGGTAATGAATGTTATCTATCTATCTATCTATCTATCTATCTATCTATCTATCTATCTATCTATCTATCTATCTATCTATCTATCTATCTATCTATCTATCTATCTATCTATCTATCTATCTATCTATCTATCTATCTAGATCTTTTTCATGCTCAGACAGCAACATTACACACTAAAAGAAAGTTTAAAATGTGAAAAAGCATTATAGGTTCTGCTTAAATAAGTTTACATGTACTTTAGATAGAGATCTTTAACTGATAGCTACTGTACTCTGTTTTTGAGTCATCAGGGGTATTTGTATCAATGTCAGAAGTCCCCTTGCACTCGACCAATATAGAGGATTTTAAAGCACAAATGGACTTCCTCCTGTCACATTACAACATCCAATATGATATCAGCACCATCAAGACAGCTGGAGATGAAATGGAGCTTTTTAGTCTGGTAATCCTTACCTTAAAATCTTAAAATGAATTCTACAACATGATGAATTATTGTGCATCATGAAAATTGTTCCTGTCGATAATGTGATTTGTTTCTATTTTTTGTAGGTTAGTTACCTGTTTCAGACTGTTTTTAAAAATCAGGAGGAGATGAAGACCTTCTTGCAGTACGACAGCACTGAAGCGGCAGACAGGAAGTTTGGGAGAAAGAGTCCGAACATGGCGCTCAGAAAAGAGTCCAACTGGATTCCTCATATACAGGTGAGACAAGCCAACAGTATTTTTTTTTTATATGTGGTAATTTATGAACTATGTGATGGAATATGATATCTAAGCTCTATTGTGCCTCATGTGGGAAACAAACAGATGAAACCAAAGCGAGATCCTTGGCAACGAAAACAAATAGCCAAACTCATGGAGCTCAGATCAATGGATGAACTTCTCCAGATGCACAGCAAGTTCTTGGAGGTGAATGGCTGAATTTGCCACTCATATATTAATTATTTCATATATACTCCACTTTTTGTTAGGTTTGCTTTGGTTAATGTCAGTATTAGTTCAATCGCACTGAAGTTTGTCAGAGCACATTATATTGGCAACACTTTACAATAAGGTTCCATTTGTTAACTTTAGTAAACATGCACTAACAATTAAAAACTTCTAAAGCATTTATTATTTTTTTGTAAATGTTAATGACATTATTTACTAATACATTATTAAAATGAAATGTTGTATCTTTAAATATTATTTTTATTGGACCTGAGCTGAAATGAACTAAGAATTGTTGTATTTTTATTAACTAACCTTAAGATGAGTAAATTCTGCAACAAATGCATGGCTCATTGTTAGTTAATATTAGCTAATGAATTTACCAAAGTTACACTACTATACTCCAACATTACAATAATGGTCTTGTTTTGCACTTTCTTTTAAAGGAGTCAGATCTTCATAAAGTGACTGATGCTTTGAAGCATTACACTGCATCTGTCCATCAGCCAGAAAAACCCTCAAAGCCTCCATCCATCAGCACAGAAACTCTCAAAGAATCTTCTGCTATATGGAAAAGCATTTATAACACAACAAACAGGCCTCAGGTGAACATCTGTGTGAATAGTAAATTATATTCTCCAAGTCAACTGTTACGCAACGTAGAGAATTTATACTGTACGTGCGTCACGTTTAGGCGATAAAACTCTTCCGCAAAGGATACACCCGTGTATCCTCACTTATGACTCCTCAGGATGCCTCCTCACTCCGCGTTCCTCGCGGTGCAATTAGAGAATTGAGATGTTAAGATGGCTGAGCTCGATCGGTTTCCTGGTCATAGGACGGAGGACCGAGGAGGGATATTGAGAAGTACCTACAGAGCAAACAAAAATAACTAAATGAGATAATTAACAGGAGACAGGTGAAGGAGATGACTAATTGGATAGACTGGGGAAAACTGGGTTACAGGACTAAACCAAAAACACTATGAAACAAGGGAGACAGTTCATATAACATCAACATGAATCTTACTTTTTAAATACGTGTTCCTGGTCTTGTTATGAACAATTCTTCGGTGCACATTGTTCACAAGTTGGGAAGCGTGTTTTCACCACAAAACAAAAGATAAAAAAGGTCATTGCGACTTAAAAAAAAAGAGTATATTTCTCCCATTACGAGTATATATCTTACAATTGGCTTTATGCACAGCTTCACTACTTCCTGAACTTCAGCCAGCCCTTTGTTTCCTGTCTGACATTATTGGACAAACTGATTAATCCAGGTGTGCCTGGCCTCAGTAACAATAATCAGGCACACCTGGATTAATCAGTTTGTCCAATAATGGCAGACAGGAAACAAAGGAGCTGGCTGAAGTTCAGGAAGTAGTGAAGCTGTGCATAAAGCCTATTCTAAATTTATCTCTTGCAGTTCAGAATTTATAACTTGCAATTGCAAGTTTATATCTTATATCTAAATTCAGATTTTTTTTAAAAAAAAGAGAGTAAATATATAAATTATATAAATTTAAATTAAATTCTAAACTCGGAATTGTGAGAAATAAACTCGTAATTGTGAGAAAATTGTGAGAAATAAAGTCAGAATTGCGAGAAAAAAGGCAGTATTGCGAGATAAAAACCCAGAATCGTGAGAAAAAAGACAGAATTGAAAGAAAAAAGGCATAATTTCGAGATGTAAACTCGGAATTGCCAGAAAAAGGCAGATTCTGACATATAAATGGATTTGCGGGGAAAAAGGCTGAATTGTGAGGAAAAAGGCAGAATTGCGAGATATAAACTGAATTGCGAGAAATAAAGTCAGAATTGCTAGAAAAGGGTAGAATTGCAGGATTTAAACTTGGAATTGTGAGAAATAAAGTCAGAATAGTGAGATATTAACTCTGAATTGTGAGATACAAAGTTGGAATTGCAAGAAATTAAGTCAAAATTGCGAGAAAAAAAGGTAGAATTGTGAGAAAAAGGCAGATTTGCGAGATATAAATTTGCAATTGCGAGAAAATAAACTTGCAATTACCGTTTTTTTATTCTCTATTGAAACAAGCTTCCATACAAAAGAATACAAATATATCTTTCATATTCATTTTAAAGCAATGAGTCTATTTTTTTATTGTGTGCACATTATTTTCCTTTGTTTTTCTCCAGGTGGCCACTGGACAGGTTTCTCATTTATCTAAATATGCAGATCAGAAATGCTCTGAGAAAAAGAATAAAGGGTAATTTTCCAAACGCTAAAATGTGTCTATAATGTATGTTAGGGTTTCTTTTAACAACTCTTTGTCTCCTAACTGTTCTAGTCAAAGTAGCAGTGCTTTTCAGCGTGAGAAGTGTGAAGACACTGAAGAAGTTGCCAAGGAGCCTGTAACAGTCAGAGGAGCTTATGAATCTTTAATCTACCTGAGACACCTCAGGATCAGAGAACTCAAGGTAAAACTCATGAACTGTCATGAAAGATGTGAAAGGTTTGAGAGATTTTGGTCTTTCCTACAAAAGCACCAAAATGTAAATGTAAGTATTACCGCACTTTTTAAGATGTGTACCATGTTTTTTGGGGGTTTTTTTTTTGGACATGTACTATGGTAATACAATAATTTGTTGAAAGTCTATCATGCAAATACATAACTGCAGCCGTTAACGCCGGACAGAAGGGGGAGTCACACTACCATATGGAAAGAAGCGTAAATGGATGGAGAAGCATAGTTTACTGTAAATCTACGTCTTAGTGTTGCTTATCTTGGCGAAAGCCGAGTACAAATCAGCATGAAGTTTTAACATCTACTCTCGTGTAATGGAAATCATGAAGATCTGGATACGTCCAGTGACTGCGGTGAATAGTGCTGCTGGCAACAAGGGAAAGACCTCGTGACAGCCTGGAGAGACAGCTGACAGGTGGAAAGAGACCCCAATGGGGCTGGTAAGGGTTAGCTACCCTTGTCGGCAGTATCCAGCTCCGTGTTTACAGGATGCTGGAGACACCCGCCCAAGGCTTCTGAAAAATTAAAGAGAAAAATACCCCTAGAGTCTGCGAGAGCGGGGGCGGAAGATGACTCAATGTTGGACAACATGGTTAACGACTTAGGAATGGAAACGGATATGAGTATGGAGAGTAAGACTAGTTCAAGATCTGCAGTAAGTAAAGTCATTGAACTCCAAGTTTGTGTCTGTGGCTGGAGTAAGGCGACAACGGTCAGGGGTTTGAAGGTTCATCAAGGGAAAATGAAATGCTTGAGGGAGAAGGGACAAGGGCCTAGCATTGATCAGTACTTCTTACGAAGTCAGTCAAGTCAGTCGAATGAAATCCAGCGACAGGAAGCAAACCACAGCTCGCAGGATATCAGCACCCCTGTCATAGAGGAGAGGAGGGCTTGCACAGTTGGTGATGAACATATTCATACTTGTGAACCTGGTCAGACTAACCAGCATAAGAGAGAAAAGAACCTCAACGGGCATAGGCCTGGAGTTAGATGGCCAAGAGCTTGTGAGAAAACTGCATGGGACACGGTAAACACAGATCTATGCTTTGCATTGGAAAGATTAACTGGTACAGTTGAAAAGAAGCTGGATAAATTTGGGGACATCATTTACACATATGGAAGTGAGAGGTTTGGTGTGGAAAAAAGGAAGGAAAAAGTACAAACTACTCCTGGAATGTCTAGACGGCAGCAGAAAATTGAAGGGTTAGTTAGAGAAAGGAGACAGCTGAGGAAGCAATGGAAAAGAGCTGAACAAAGTCAGAAGGAGGGACTCAATCTCTTACAAAGGGCCATAAAAGATAAGCTGGCAACATTACGCAGAGCTGAGCACCTACGGAAACGCTACAAAAAGAAGGAACGTGCGAGGGCTAATTTCTATAAAGACCCATTCAAATTCCTAAAGAAGTTATTCACCAGGGAGAAGAATGGCACTTTAAAAGCATCTAGGGTTGAGCTAGAGAGATATTTGGAGGAAACGCATACAGATGCAAAAAGGCATGAGCCTATGTCAATTCCATCAGACATACCACCTATCAACCCACCAGAATACCAAATGGAGGTCTGTGCACCTAAGTGGAAAGAGGTAGGCTTCATCATCTTCAGGGCCTAATGGAGTTCCGTACAGAGTGTACAAGACTGCTTCAGGAGTTCTGCGAATTCTGTGGAAATTGATAAAAGTGGCATGGGAAAAACAGGTTGTACCTAGAGCATGGCGCAGAGCAGGTGGAGTCTTTATACCTAAAGAAAAAGATTCTACAAGCATCAGTCAGTTTCGTCCTATTTCACTATTAAAAGTTGAAGGTAAGATTTTCTTCAGCATTATTGCCCAGAGATTATCCACCTAC